AAAACGTTTTTAATAGTCACATCATTTTTTAACTGGTCAAAAAGATCTCTGTAAAACCCATGAATATGATCAACAATTGTAATATTTTGTGACACAAGCAGCCCAGGGTTATTTACTAAAAATACAACAAAATAAAAATCTTATTTTAATTTAGCTTGTTGACAATGCAACATTTCTCTTTTTCATTTAGCCTACTTTATGTACTACAATAACCACAACTAAAACTGCTATACAAATGAATAATAACTATATTTAATAAAAGATTACAAGAACAACTACTGCATTACTAACTCAAAACTCATTAAAATCTCAATTCAAAACTACAAACGAATTCAACATTTTTATCTCAATGATAATAAAATAACACTGAAGCAATCGTTCATCAGGGCACCCTTATTGTTGAGCCCTATGTGTTACATGGTTTACCGTAAAACCCGAGCAAACAAAGCACAAACATACAGACAGACAGGTGAGAGGTGTTTGTGACATGAAACAACCAAAAGTAAACTTTTGTCTAACATATTTATTATAACATTTAGTATTTTTTCCATTGTTTTCTATGGTAAAATGTCCTTAACCTTACATGCCCGCTTGTTTAACCCACTAAGGAATCTTGACAACACTATTTGATTCAGTTACTAAGCAAATCTCTTTCTCTATCCCCCAACAGCTTGGACAGTTGGTTTAGCATGTACTCTTGCCTATACTGAGTGCTAAGTGGCTTAAAAACAGGTCTAATCTGTGTAGTAATGACATACAGTAACTTATCGACTGAACACGTCTATGAAAACGATGTAGAGCAACAGTTTTTTTGTTTCTAATGGAACTGGATGTTTTTTTTTTTTACTGACGCACAAAACAACATGCATTTCAGCCTTTAAGCCACTTTCAATTAATAGAGTATAAAATAATTGTTATACTTTTGAATGATTTTTCCTTTTGTAAACTAATAATAAAAAAAGTCATACTAAATTATATATCACACTAAATAAATAAATCAAAATTTATTCAAAATTGAGCTGGATAAGCTAGTTTGGGAGCAAACACTGGGTGTAATTCATGATACAGTTATATTTCCAACAAATTACAGAAAAATAGGTATATGATCATTGTTTTTACAGTAGCCTAACTAGCAAGGTTATACCAGCTGATCTTGACTAAAATATTATAGATTGCCAAAAATCATGATTTTTAGAGAGGAAATACAAACATTTGGTGGGCAAAAAATATGAATAAATAATAATAATAATAATAATAATGTCTGATTTTATATTTAGATTGTATGTTAGTTTTTTTTATATATATTTTATTCTATATTCTATAACAGTTCTTGAAAGCAAAACATGGGATTTGGGATTTCATGGGGCGCTTCCAATGCTTAAAAAGAATAAATAAATAAATAAAAAAACACTTACGGGACACTAACGTATATATACTGACAAGTGTGCAATACTAAACTATTCACATTTTTTTATCATCCATCCACACCTGCCCTCCGCGCGTGCGCATTACCTTTTAATTCATTGAGGCTAATTTCCAGTTTTGATATTTCATCATAACACACTCTGTGAATCTCAGTCATGAGCTCAGCCGGTGTTATCATCATTTGGCATGAAAACACAACATTGGTGAGTTCGTTTGAGAATCAGGTCACAGTCAAACGGAACGGAACCGTAGTGATAACTTCATTACGAACGCCTGAGATTAGTAACAGTAGATACCGGTTGGTTGTGTCCATATCGCTAGCTCTTTCCATATTCACAGAGAGGCTCAAAAGTGATGCACCAACGCCTTACAAACGGACACACGAATATACAACGTGTAATTTTAGCTTTAAAGTACAAAAATGTGTATCGGAAGCAGCGCAGCCCTACGGAACCAGACCAACAAGTTGGAGAGAGTGATAGATAGCGTCTGTACTCACGTATCGAGTGATGAGCTTCCTGATGCTACTCAAATCCATTCTGCTCTAGGTGTGCTGTCTCCGCTTTCTCCTCTAATCTTGAAGAATGGGCACACAAGACGCTAGCTGATCATTGTAGCAAGTCTCTGATCCATGACTGTCTTCTACAGCTTCTTCTTCAAGGCTTAACAACTGGCAGTCCTACGCGACTACTGCGATTATGATATCTACAGAGCAGCGCCTAACGTTACTGAGATGAAGAAGAAGGCTACTGTGTAAAGTCCAAACGTTGTCATAGTGACATGCTCCGGTTTCATCTACAAACACTGACTGAGGAGAAAAACAACAAGCTCTCGTTTTCCCAGGTTTTGCCTTAATATGTTAAGGGACTGGCCACTTCTTCCTTGTCCGGCGCCCCTCTGGTGCACTGCCGCACTCGCTCTGCTTCTTCTCGGTGTAGTAGAGCTCTCCTCTCCCGACTCCCGTCGGTTAGCACCGGAACGTCACGAGCCCCGTGAGCGCACGCGCACTCCTTGGCTACACCCACCCGCCCGAGGGGATTTTTCAGCCTGCCCTCCGGTGTCCGGTGACTCCCCATCCAGTTACTGCCAGTCAATCTCCAGCAACAAGCCGGTGTAAGGTGATGACATGGCCTCTCAAGCGTGCTTTAGGACTGTGTGGTGACTTGAAGAATAAATAGTCGAATAAATAACTAACAACGACAGTAATAAAACTAAATTTACATTTAGTCATTTAGCAGACGCTTTTATCCAAAGCGACTTACAAATGAGGACAATGGAAGCAATTAAAATCAACAAAAGAGCAATGATAAGCAAGTGCTATGACTCGGGTTAGCCTAACGCAGTACACGTAACAAGTTTTTTTTGTTTTTGTTAATTATATAATAGATAAAAAGAAAACAAATCGATAGAATAGAAAAAGAATAGAGAAAGCTAGTGTTAGAGGTCTTTTTTAATAGAAAACAAGCAGTTAGAAAACAAATAGAGTGCAAACCTTAAAGGGTCATGTTTTTTTTTAAATAAAAAAGAAAACAAATAGTTGAAAAATAATTCGAATAGAGAGTGTTAGAGGGTCAAATAAAGATGGAAGAGATGTGTTTTTAGCCGTAAACAACGATAATAAATAAGCATAATAAGTAAATTATAATTATCATACTAAATATTAATTAACAATAAAACACTTATCTATTGCACATATGGGATCGTTATAATTCAATTATTATAATGTAATCAAGATAACAATAATAATAAATATAATTTATGTTCTACTTTTAAATAATAAAATCAACAACAATGAGTAATTACTGATAATATTATATAATAATTATTAATCTAACTTTTTAGGTTGTTATGATGAACTGATATAAATATTGAAAAACTATCAAATTAGTTCAATTATTTAAATTGTTAACTAAATAAATTAAATTACTAGCCATTTACCACTTTAGCTTTTCATTAAAACTATGTTTTTGTTATTATTACAGTCAAATATATGTCTCAGTACAATTAATTCAGCAAACCTACTTCTACTTTACAGATAATTACTGTGCAGTTTTTTATTCTGATTATTTCAATATATATATAGCTCTCTTCTTTTTTTTTTTATTCATTAATTTTTTTCATTGATGGACTTATTTATAGTCCTGTGCACAATTCATACACGTATCAAAGCTGATTATTTACCCCTTTACAATTTGTAGTAAAATACAAAATTTTTGATTATTAATAGATTTAATCAATCAATTATTATTATTATTAATAATAATAATAATAATAATAATAATTTTCCAACATGTTTTATTATGTTATGAGTAATGTTTGTCGGTAGGAACGTTTTCCTAGGTCTCATTTCCCAGCCGGCTGTTTTTCCGCTGCGCACCGCTGCTGTGTTTTCCGTTGACTGTCCGACTGTGGGCACTTTTCGGCGGGTTCCGTTAAAATGGCGCTGTTGTTGCCAGGAGCAGAAACCCAGCAGATGAAAAGCGACAGTGGTTAAAAACATACCGCGATGATAAGCAAGTGCTATGACTCGGGTTAGCCTAACGCAGTACACGTAACAAGTTTTTTTTGTTTTTGTTAATTATATAATAGATAAAAAGAAAACAAATCGATAGAATAGAAAAAGAATAGAGAAAGCTAGTGTTAGAGGTCTTTTTTAATAGAAAACAAGCAGTTAGAAAACAAATAGAGTGCAAACCTTAAAGGGTCATGTTTTTTTTTAAATAAAAAAGAAAACAAATAGTTGAAAAATAATTCGAATAGAGAGTGTTAGAGGGTCAAATAAAGATGGAAGAGATGTGTTTTTAGCCGTAAACAACGATAATAAATAAGCATAATAAGTAAATTATAATTATCATACTAAATATTAATTAACAATAAAACACTTATCTATTGCACATATGGGATCGTTATAATTCAATTATTATAATGTAATCAAGATAACAATAATAATAAATATAATTTATGTTCTACTTTTAAATAATAAAATCAACAACAATGAGTAATTACTGATAATATTATATAATAATTATTAATCTAACTTTTTAGGTTGTTATGATGAACTGATATAAATATTGAAAAACTATCAAATTAGTTCAATTATTTAAATTGTTAACTAAATAAATTAAATTACTAGCCATTTACCACTTTAGCTTTTCATTAAAACTATGTTTTTGTTATTATTACAGTCAAATATATGTCTCAGTACAATTAATTCAGCAAACCTACTTCTACTTTACAGATAATTACTGTGCAGTTTTTTATTCTGATTATTTCAATATATATATAGCTCTCTTCTTTTTTTTTTTATTCATTAATTTTTTTCATTGATGGACTTATTTATAGTCCTGTGCACAATTCATACACGTATCAAAGCTGATTATTTACCCCTTTACAATTTTTAGTAAAATACAAATTTTTTGATTATTAATAGATTTAATCAATCAATTATTATTATTATTAATAATAATAATAATAATAATAATAATTTTCCAACATGTTTTATTATGTTATGAGTAATGTTTGTCGGTAGGAACGTTTTCCTAGGTCTCATTTCCCAGCCGGCTGTTTTTCCGCTGCGCACCGCTGCTGTGTTTTCCGTTGACTGTCCGACTGTGGGCACTTTTCGGCGGGTTCCGTTAAAATGGCGCTGTTGTTGCCAGGAGCAGAAACCCAGCAGATGAAAAGCGACAGTGGTTAAAAACGCACCGCGGACCGTTTCTGCTCGCACGGAAGGTAATATATACGAGCACAATGGCGGCGCTTGATCAGAAATCCCCCAACGTGCTTCTGCAGAATCTGTGCTGTAAGATCACGGGCAAGAGTGAAGGTAAAGACACCCATCTCATTCTGCCACACAGCTGCTAAAACATGATTAGTATGTGCAGTGGTGGACTAGGCTGTGAGTTTCGATGAAAACGGACAATGTGATGTGATATGATAATGTTTGTGATGGAGGGTCAGAGCAGCAGAGATGAGACGCTGTAAGCTGAAAGCCTTGGAAAACATCAGGGGGATGCTGGATAAAACAGGGTCCCTGTTTCAAATGGCCCTTCTTGTCAATAAAGACCCCGATGCTTCAAACTAAAGCTGATATCTCCTCTGTTATCAGCTCACTGCTGCTGTCATATTTCTAATGTGGGCTAAACGCGTCTCAGAGTCCACAAGAGACATTAACAAATGAGAAACAGACATTTCACTTTATTGTTGGACAAGAGACTTTAGAAACAGCAGACATACCAGAATATGGTCCCTGCTTTCAGTTTCCTAAAAAGGAGTTAATGTCTTATGTATGTGTAATCAGATACAAATTTCACTCTATGGATTTTGACATAAATAGCATGTAGATCTGTTATTGAACTGAAATGTGTCTTATATATGGGAATAAAATGTGTGTTTTAGATCATTTTTTTTCATCTCCAGTTCTTTAGATTGTTTATAATATGGTATCTGTTTATGAAATACATCTGTTGTTTGTGTATCTTCTGTCAGCTGATGTAGCCCATCAGTTCCAGTATGCCGTGCGGGTCATCGGAAGTAATTACGCACCCACAATTGAACGGGATGAGTTTCTGGTGTCTGAAAAGATTAAAAAAGAATGTGAGTAATCTGAAACCCTGTCCTAACTTTATTCAAGTGCAATTATACATGCAGGAGGCTTGCATAGAACATGCTGTACAAGGCTTAACAATAAGGATTTTTTTTTTTTTTACTGTTTGGTGGATCAGTGTAGTAGTTCCAATTTATACTTGCCCTGCCAATACGAATGAGATTTTATTGCATGCAGGAGGCTTGCATAGAACATGCTGTACAAGGCTTAACAATAAGGATTTATTTTTTTTTTACTGTTTGGTGGATCAGTGTAGTAGTTCCAATTTATACTTGCCCTGCCAATACGAATGAGATTTTATTTGTAAATCATATTTTTTTGTGTTGGTAAGAAATATGTTTATCATTAAACATTTATGTCTGTCCAAAAAATAATGAAAATTTTGCTATAATTACTGGAAATTAAGCACAATAATAACTCGTGCTGAAAACTATAAGTTCACTTTGGCTGAAAAATGATGGCATATGCTGATTTGCTTCATTTTCAACCTATTCTAATTCATGCTTCCAAAAGAAACCTTTCTCAAAATTTTAACAAAACCCCATCTAAGTTAGCCTTTAACCCAAGTTAACCTTTACCAGATCAGTTTTACTCAATCCCCCCCCATTTAACTTTTAACCAGATCATAACCAGACTTGTTTAAAAGTTTTTAAATTCTGTTAACATTTTTTTTAATTAATTTCACTATTAATTGTCATTAATTAATTAATGGAATAACATTTTTATTTACTGTTTTGTTTGTTATATTTCTGACCATGTATAATTATTCCAGTGAACTACTTGTCTTTACTCCTTAGCCTAATAAGCAATGCTTAAACCTTAATTATAAACTGTAGTTTAAAATGAATTATTTATTACATTTTTGTGAAATTGGTAGACCCACTTTGTCATTTATGTTTTCTGTTCGAAAACATTAGAATTTGTCAGTTTATTTTGCCTGTTGTTGGTTTTGTTGCTGCTGCTATTAAATCAATTTAATAACTAGGAAATGGTTTCGGTAAAATTACAGTAATGGACATGTTTTAAAACATTTCTCCTGGGAAAATAATGTGATTTTTTTAATTTTTTTTTATTTATTTATTTTTTTTATTATTTTTTTTTTTTATCAAATAAAATTGTGAAAGATGCTGTATATTTTTATTTCTTTTATTTTTTGTTAAATAATATTGTATATTGTTAAATTAGTGTATGCAATTCATTGACGTTTTGTTATTGAGACTATTTTAAATCTGTTTGCTGACATGGCATAAAATGATAAATAAATAGCATAATATAACAAAAACCGAAATAAACCATGTTGCATATCTGTTATCGGACATATAAGCATGCAAATAATCGGGTATAAGAAATTAATACTGGTCAATCTATACTACAGTACTGGCCCAATAGTGCTAGTGACCATTCTATCAACAGCACCTAAACTCATTAGGCTATCCTTTAATATTTCTGGTTTATTCGATTAAGATGCAAAAAATAACACTTTTCTTATTTATTGTAGTGCTGAAACAAAGACGGGAAGCAGATGCTGCCCTTTTCTCTGAATTGCACAGAAAGCTTCAGACCCAGGTCAGTATTCAGCTCAGTTATACATGATACATATAGATTAGATGTAATGGACGGCATGTGATATGGTTAAATATGCTAATTGATTTGTTTCTGGTGAACAGGGTGTGTTGAAACATAGATGGTCCATCTTATACCTCCTGCTCAGCCTCTGTGAGGACCCAAGGAAGCCGTCTAACCGTGTTCCTGTATGTTCCTGAGATGTTTCTCCAGTTTTTCTGCAGATACTACACAATAATGTAGTAAAAATGATTTTACATTATGTGTAAGACAGAGATTCTTCTTTCCCCGTCCACAGGTGTGTAGTTATGGAGCTCTGCTCACCCAGGCTCGTGATGTCCACTCCACCCCGTTTTACTACGCCCGTCCCCAGAGCCTCCCGCTCAGCTACCCAGAGCGCTCAGCCACTGCCCATAACTCCAGCATGGCTACCAGTGGCATCAGCAGTATGGGAGTATTCTCGATCAATGGGCCTGGGCCGACCCCTCCGTCTCTACTCACTGGGTGAGTGACAGTGATGAACTGACTTAGTGAATGTTGTTTTCCATACAGTGAAAGCATACAGTGGCCATGGGCTGTCAAACTCCAAAAAGGACAAAATAAGTGCCATAAGTCACATACAGTATATCACATGTTGCACCGAACTAGGTGTCAGTAACACTGATACATTTGTCATGTGATTATGTGAAAATGAACTTGGTGCTTTTTTAGTCAGTTTTAGATTTCTTGACTCTTGTCTGTAGGCTATGTGATAATTCTAGAAAAATAACTAAATTATTCTTCCGAATTTCTCTTTTTGTGTTTAAAGGAAGAAGGTCGGTCATACAAGTCTAGAACATTATTTACAGTGAAAAAATGATGACAGAACTTTCATTTTTGAGGTGAACTATCTTCAAAATTAATTTTCATGGTGAACAGCTGCAATCATCCACTGTAAAATGCATCAGTGCAAAGGCTGCATTTATTTGACCAAAAATACAGTAAAAACAATAATATTGTAAACTAGTAAAAACAATAATATTGTAAAATATTACAATTTTAAATGAAAACTGTTTTCTGTTTTAATATATTTTAAATGTCATGTGTTCCTGTGATGGCAAATCTGAATTTTCAGCAGCCATTTCTCCAATCTTCAGTGTCATGTGATCAGAAATCATTGTAATATTTCTGAACACAGAGAGCTTTTGCAGATGTAGCATTTAGAGATCAATTTCTGTTTATTGGTAGTATTTGATTGCAGTCCATTAAAAATGGTTCCATTTCTTTTGTTTCAGGTTTGTTTCAACACATATTTACAGATTTTTTTTTTTCAGTAATTGTCTTTTGTCTACAAGGAAAATAATCATGTCTCATGTAAAGAGGTTTTCACTTTGTGTGCTTACTATACATTTGCAAAAATGTCTTTAAAAAGTGAAGCTGTTTCTAAGTAAAAAAATCTAGCAAAATTTGTTTGCATGTGCTACTTGGTTTGACGTTTTGTTTTAGCACAATGTCTACACCCAACATGACTAATATTGCTCGCATTATATTAATTGAAAGAGTTTATACTGTAAGCAGCTGTTGCATCACATTGCAATGCACGCTATGTTTCATAAATGTTATTTATTTTCGATTGGTAGCCCAGCAACAGCCTATGACAAATCATATGGGTTTTATTTTCTCTCCCTCTCTCTTTTAAAGTATTTTTTTTCAGTAATGCAGCTGTTGTATTTGTAGTATGTTTAATTGAACTGCTGTACACTCATCTATTATTAATGCAGCTGTCTAGCACCTGCAGCACTTAAGATATTTTAAATATGGCCATGTACTCCAAGCCCTGAATTAATTGATTACTGGATCCATTTCACAGTAAATCTGTCGAACCAACAGCATCATTAAAGTCTCTGAACCTCAGTGGCATTATTTGTTTAAAGCTCACCATTACAAGGTAATTAGTGAATTCCCACAGGTTTTGCTAAAGGGCGAATGAGTTTCAAGAAAATGGGGTTTGAGATGAAAATTCATGTAGCAAAAAGGCAATGCAAACATTTTAGGATTTTTTTTTTTCCACCTGTAGTGGAGTTTGGCTATTAAATGATGAAATGCAGAGGTTTTCAGATGAACTTGAGTGTATTTATTGGACACTTCTGCCACTTTTGTCATTTTCAGACCGGGACCCCAAGCTGTCGGTGAGTCTATGAGAGGGTCTCGTCTAGCCTGGACTCTCCCGGTCTCCAGTTCACCCTCTGGGGCAGCTGCTGCCCCTCGTCCCCCCAGTGGACCCTCTTCCAGTCCGGCACCCAAACTCCCACAGAGACAGAGACGGGATGAAGATGGCAGTGGTGAGTGTCTAAAGGAAATAGTCAGGATGTTTCAGGAAATAACTGGGTGATTATATACTAAAATAAAGATAGTATTTTAAAACTACAAATAGAAATGACTGTTTAAAACATGTGCAGAACACCAGTGACAGGTGCCTGGGAGTTTTATGCTGTAGATGCCATAAATGTTTCACTCTGAATACAAACTCTTATATTTAACACAATTTTTCAGTCGTTTTTAGGCTACTCTTGACTGGTTAATTGTCATTTACATTTGATTCTTATCCTTTAGGTGTAAAAAATATTCCCTCTGTAAGAGAGAACTATTTCAGAGGTATTAAAGATGCAGTTGGCCTCATGGCATCTTTCTCTGTGACAGATATATGCGTGTGACCTTTACAGAACTTTAATTTAAATTCTCCCTTTTCACTATATTTTTCTATCTCCTCTGGCCCAGCTGAGATTGGGGAGGCTGCTCTCGTCCGAGACATTCTTTATGTTTTCCAGGGAATAGATGGAAAGTTCATCAAGATGTGCAGCCCAGAAAACTGCTACAAAATTGATTCAAAGGTGATTCTTTATTAGCTGTATCTTCCTTTCATTCTGGTCTTGTCTTTCTCTTGATTTTTGTTCATTCGCTCACATGCAGTCTGTATAACTATAGTAACTAGGCTGTTTACGATTGCTGTGAAGCGTAAAGGAACAATCAAATGACATTTTTTGAAAGGTGCTTGTCACATTTTGTCACAATAACGGTTGGAACATAGATATATTAGAAAAATTCTAAATATACACTACCGTTCAAAGTAATGAATACTTTTAATCAGTATAAGAGATGCATTAAATTTATCAAAAGTGACAGGAAAGACATTTATGTTACAAAAGATTTATTTTTCAACTAAATTAGATTTTCATTGAAATTTGTTCATCAAAGAATCCTAAAAAAATATTTAGCAGCACAGCTGTTTGTAACATTGATAAGAAATGTTTCTTGAGCAGAAAATCAGCAGATTATAATAATTTCTGAAGGATCATGTGACACTGAAGACTGGTGTAATGATGCTAAACATTCAGCTTTGCATCACAGGAATAAATTACATTTTAAAATATATTAAATTCGAAAACCATTTTACTCCTATTTGATCAAATAAAAGCAGCCTTGGTGAGCTTCAGAGGCTTCAAAAAAGTTTTTAAACAAAGTATACCAACTTCAAAGTTTTCAAAAGTAGTGTATATTAGCATAAAATGATAAATGAAGAAATAATGTTGCAAGGTTGTATAATTATGAATGTAGTTTAAATTTCACAAGAATATAATCATAAATATTAGCTTGCTCTGTTCTCGTAAAGCAGATTTTTAATTATCTCTCATTTAAATGGCACCACAAATAAAAAGCTTATGAAAGTTTATTTAATCGTAATGTACAGCAAATCGAAATAACTCAGCCATTCATAATGACTATATTGTGAAGAAAATTAACAAAGGGCTTTTTACTAGCTTTTTATGTTCTTCATTTATTTCCTTATCCACTTCAGCTACGGTACAAACACTTCAGACGTCAGACTGAGATTCTGGGAAGTAATTGTGAGCAGAATGTTCTAGTGTTGCGCTTCTTATAAAAGTACTTGTAACGTGAGTTCTTATTAAACAAACTTAAGTAGGAGCACCTGTAGACACTTTTGTAAGTGCATAATGGGAAATATAGAAGCATTGATCTCATCATCAGCTGCTTCTGTCTGGCTACAACTCACATGGCCTCATGAATCCATTTGAGCCACATGGCTCCCAAGGCCTTTTCCTTTTTTTTTTTTTTTTTAATTCCTGGCAGACGTTGACCGTGAATCAGAGTTAATCGATCAGGTGTCTTTTTTTAAGTGACACTTTTGCATCTATTCGTTTGAAAAAGAACAATGTGCTTTTTATGTCCAGTGAGGTGTGCTGGATAAATAGACACTTTGATGGGCCAGAGCTGTTTGTGTTTGTTCTGGACGTCATATATATTGTACTCAAACCATTAGACCACAGATGGAGATGAATGCCTGAAGTTCTCTCAGAAAACCTAAAAATCAAACTATTTCAATGTCACTTTTTATGCATTATATGATCATATAAAGCATAGAATCAATATTAATATGTATGGGTATTTCTTGAAATTTAGCCAGAAGTCATTAGTTTAACTAATCCAACTAATCTATGGATCATTGTTTTAAGAACCTAATTTTTTTGCATATTCCCTTGTAGTTCTGTGAGAATCTGTAAGAATATTAATGCTTATGGTATTCAGTCTGAGATTTGCTGTAGCTGCTTTGTCTTCGTCTCACTCTTGGGGAGAAAAGTAAAAAAACTGGTTGTCTGTTTGGTAACCGTTTGCTTTGAAGGAATCTTGGTGACCTTTACAAGTGAACACTTAATCAAAGGCTTAAATGGACCTTTTATTAAAAGTTATTAAAGAGTTTTTGTGTTGAATGGAACAGATGTTGCTCACAAAGCCCCAAAATAAGTGAAAGTCAAGATTAGCTAAAGCCATTTCTTCAAAATGATGAGATGACTTTGCCACTGTGTCACAAGGGCAGAATACATACTGGCCAGTTCACAGGCAGCCTGCACTAAAATACACTTTCATTTCCCACACTTTCCCACTCCTTTCCTACAGCAGATATTTAAGTTTAATTTTTTAGAAATAAACACATTCTAGTCATTTTACCTATAGTCTGTTGTTATGGGATCATAAACTCCTGCTCTGCATTTTGTGAGAGAGTAAATAACTGTATGTTTTGTCCTATAGGTGCCACTGTGTAAGTCTCTAAGAGACACTAGCAGCAGGCTAGCAGAGCTCGGCTGGCTCCACAATAAGATTAGAAAATATACAGATTCCCACAGCCTGGATCGAGCCTTTGGCCTAGTCGGGCAGGTAGGAAATGTGACATGACAGGAAATGAACATAACATATATGTAACCTTAACCCCTACACAAATCTTATAATGCAAGATTATACATTTTAAATTATTTTGTTTTTTGAAAGAAATTAATACTTTTATTCAGCAAAGATGCATTAAGATGATCAAAAGTAACAGTAAAGACGACTATATTTTTACTATATATTTCTATTTTAAATAAATTCTGTTCTTTTGATGATTTCTGTAGAATCATGTGACACTGAAGACTGGAGTAATGATGCTAAAAATTCAGCTTTGCCATCACAAGAATAAATTATATATTTAAAATATATTAAAATAGAAAATAGCTATTTTAAATTTGAATAATATTTTACAATATTACTGATTTTACTGTATTTTTAATTAAATTAAATTAAAATATTTAAAAAATCTTACCAACACCAAACTTTTGAACAGTTGATTGTAGTCAGGAATAATTCAGGAATTTCATACTCTATAATTTCAGTAACACTTTTGCTTCCTGTTTTTATCATCAGAGTTTTTGTGCTGCATTGCATCAAGAGCTGAAGGAGTACTACAGATTGTTGTCTGTACTTCATGCACAGGTGAGTATATGGGACACCACTTAATGCGCAGGGGAAAATGTGTGTTTGACCCTGAAACATTCGTTTGCTCAAGCCTGAATTTTCCGCCGCTGGTTCCTACCTGAAACAATCTGCTGGATAATATAGTAAAGTAAAGCCTTGACCAATTTATGTACCCTGTCTTAAATAACCCTGTTGCATCAAAAGCAGCTTGTGAAAAGCACAATGAAACAACCAAGCATGAGAACCAGCACCATTTCAGTGGAAAAGCGGTAACTGACGTGTCGTGTATATGTGTTTAGCTCCAGGTGGAAGACGATCAGGGTGTAAACATGAGCGTGGATAGCAGTCTGACTCTGAGGAGACTGCTGGTGTGGACCTACGACCCCAAGGTTCGGCTGAAAACACTAGCCGCACTGGTGGACTACTGCCAAGGTTAGTGGTGGTACATCTCATTGATAAGATACAATCTGCAGCACAATACATTTAAAATGTAGTCAGCATTAAAGGATTAGTTCACTTCCAGAACAAAAATTTACAGATAATGTACTCACCCCCTTGTCATCTAAGATGTTCATGTCTTTCTTTCTTCAGTCGTAAAGACATTGTTTTTTGAGCAAAACATTTTAGGATTTCTCTCCATATAATGGACTTCTATGGTGCCCCCGAGTTTGAACTTCCAAAATGCAGTTTAAATGCAGCATCAAAGGGCTCTAAACGATCCCAGCCGAGGAAGAAGGGTCTTATCTAGCAAAACGATCGGTTATTTTCTAAAAAAAAATGTACAATTTATATACTTTTTAACCTCAAACGCTCGTCTTGTCTAGCTCTGCGTGGACTCTGTTTTCCGGTTCAAGACAGTTAGGGTAGGTCGAAAAACTCCCATCTCATTTTCTCCTCCAATTTCAAAATCGTCCTACATCGCTGTTTTAAAGTTTTTTGTAAAGGATGTTTGACCTTTGCATGGTCACTTTGTAAACACTGGGTCGGTACTTCTGCAGCGATGTAGGACGATTTTGAAGTTGGAGGAGAAAATGAAAAGGGAGTTTTTCAACATACCCTAACTGTCATGAAACGGAAAAAACAGAGTTCACACAGAGCTAGACAAGAAGAGCGTTTGAGGTTAAAAAGTTGTAGCGTCTGGACCAGTCAGACACACCATTTTTAATTTGATTTAACAAATCAATTATTCATTAGGTATATAAATTGTACATTTTATTAGAAAATAAATGATCGTTTCGCTAGATAAGACCCTTCTTCCTTGGATGGGATCATTTAGAGCCCTTTGATGCTGCATTTAAACTGCATTTTGGAAGTTCAAACTCAGGGGCACCACTGAAGTCCATTATATGGAGAGATCTCTAGGACCAACTCTATAGCGCCACCACCACTTCAAAAATTCAACATTGAAATGGTAATAACTCTTGAACCCCTAATTCTAGAAAAATGAAACATAGTACACCTGATTACTCTCCTCATGCTGGTCACATTGAATATCTTATCTATAATCTTCTCTATAATCTACTAAATATAGACAACTTTCTTATAAAGAAAGCATAACAAAAGGAAAAAATATATATAATCATAATCTATGACAAAAATACTATTATAAACTAGGTTAGTGGATAATTCAGTAGCGAAAGTTACTCTAGAAAAATGAGTGCACAATAATTTTATAAAATCATTATTTAGTGGGGGGGAAAATAAAAGTGAATAAGTGTTAGATTAAATCTGGTAAATTGTTACACATTGCTCTTTGTATGGTTGTAAAATACATTCATGAAAAAAGTAATATATTTATATATAAATATATATAGGGCCTACTATAAAATTAAAATACTTTTTTAATGTGCAACATATGATAGATAAGACGAACAAGAAAGGCTATTAACTAATAAACTGTCATTAGTTATTAACTAATAATCTGTCATTGTGCAAAAGTATTATGATATGAAAGGCTCCAATAAAGAGCGGCACAAAGCGCTTATGCGCATCCCGTGCTCAGAATGATGCGCTTGAAGCAACACGGAGTCAGCGTGCAGGCACAGCGCTCCGCATAGAAAAGTTCAAAGCACATAGGGAAGAGACATTGATGCATAGTGTATTAAATCTGTGCGATAGTTTATTGAGCCTTTTGTTTTATCCGTTTTAATAAAACGAGCTTTGTGCTCGTGAAGAACAATTCATAGTGCTCTCTACCCCAGTGTTGTGATCTAACACGGTAGAAATGAACACGATTTAGAAACAAAACGAAACTAGCAAGATAAAGACCTTTTATGCAAAATCATTTATCTTTATTTACAGATCAAGTATAATATTAAGAACATTAAATCATCTTGGAGAGAGTTTGGATGTTTGAATGCTGAATGGAGGATGTCAGACGAGTTTACGCGAACTTGACTTAAATATGTAAGGGATAATCAACGGCTAGCCGTGCATTAAAGGATTTTAAATGCACGACGTGGAGGCAAAGAACTGCCCAACGCGAAGTGCATTTAAAATCCTTTAATGCACCGCTAGCCGTTGATTATCCTGCTTATTCCATGGTCATTTGCCAAGTTATAGACAAGTTAAAACTAGTATTGCTCTTTGCAGCACGATATTTGACCGAATGGGTAAAAATGACAGTTATTTTCGTCAGTTACGGCACATTAACTCTAGTATTCTGCCCGCTTCAAATCAGACACAGGGATGAAATAGTGCGGTAAGATCACATTTATTTTAATGAATTATAGCATGTATTTCAATTAATTATCGATCGAGAGAGAGAGATGACAGTTGTGTGTACCTGCGTGCTGCGTCTGCACGTCTCTCTCTACAGTTACTTCAGAAACAGCCATTTTACCATTGTTGCTGAGGAATATAATGTAGCGATCTAGTATCTAGGCTATTTTATTAATAAAAATCGCGGGGAAGCGTTGACAACAAGTTTATGTGTGTGTGCAGCGCAATCTTTGATCTCTCTCTTTCTCTCGCTCTCTCTCTCTCTCTGTGTGTGTGTGTGTGCGCGAGTGATGTGTGTTGGTTATGCCGAGTTCACACTGCACGATATTAGCCCGATTTTTCACTCGCCGACAGGTTTTGCGAAATCGCCGACAAATGGAACAGCAGCAACTGAATGCTACCCAAGATAATCACGCAGTGTGAAAACAACGGCGATCCGACGAGTTTGAAAATCGTGCAGTGTGAACTCGGCATTAGTGTGCATCAATTAAAGCAGCGCATTAATATAGAACGGTGATTAAACTGACTTGGAACTACCTGTGCATTAAACGGTTTTACTGCATACCCGCCAGCCAATCAGAATCCAGTATTCAGACAGACCATGGAATAATCATCTATACTTCACATTAAACTGTGCAACAGCTTCAGAACACTTGGAATATAGTGCACGAAAACTTTATGGTGCTTTATGATGTTTTTGTGGCTTTCGTGGGGCTTAACAATAACACAGAATAGTATACGCAGAATATCGGATTTGGATCGGTCACGTCTGACCGATACCCGATCCAGCAGAAAATGCCATTATCAGAGCGATACTGAATATCGGATCGGCGCACCCCTACTTTCATGTTGTAGGTTCGAGTCTCACGTGGTGCAACTTTAGAAAATTGTGCTATGTTGTGCTGTTTTGATTACTTTATTATCCAAATCTGCATTGTGCAAATCTTTATTTATTCCTGCTCTGCACTGCGCTACAGCCCCTTCTTGGGCTTGGCCCAGCATCACTGCTTGCAGTTATATTTTTTTTAAATATTTCTGTTTAGCTTTCATTTATTTTTATTTTTATTGCTTCAACTTTAGTATTGTTTGTGTAGTATTACTTTCAGTTTTCATTTTAATTTTAGTAATTTTATTATGCTTTTGTAATTTTTGTTAGCTTTTTATATATATATATATATATATCTTTTTTTTTTGTTTAGCTTTCATTTATTTTTATTTAATTTTTAGTGCTTCAACTTTAGTATTGTTTGTATACTATTATAGTTTTTATAAGCATTTTGAATGAGCTTTATTTTGATATTTTCAGTTTTCATTTAAATGTTTGTAATTTTATGTGGTTTTGTATTTTTTTATTAGGTCTTGTTTTAAAAAAAAAATTTAATTTCATTTAGTTTTTTAAGTTTGGTTTTCATATATCATGTATATTATATTTAATTTTATTAGATTTTTAATAGTTATAGTTAACAATAACAACACTGGTTCAGATTGTCCATTTTAATGAAGTGATTCAAAACTCTGATTCAACGATTTATACACATACATATACAAATGAATGACAATAAACAAGTATTTGCACATGCGCGCGCACGTATATGTGCATGAAAATATTTTTTTATCATTAATTTGTATTTATATGCATACATATGTAACTCGTGCTGTCAAATGAGTAGTAATGCGCACAGGCTACTTTTGAGCTACGGGCAAAAAAATTTCGATTTTGATCGAATTTGATATTTTCACAAAAATGAGTTTATTAAGCCCTCGTCTAGCGATCCCAGTGCTCCAAATAGTAATTAAACATCTAAAAGTCTCTTTATTTGTACGTTTTCTGAGAGGAGTACCTTTTCTCCACTCGCTTCTCGTGCTGCCTCTCATCCAAAGCGCAAGCATAAAGATGTCAGACACCGACGACGCTCTATCCCGATACACATATACACAGATTTACAGTAGGCTAAATATATTTAAGTATTCACGCAATCAAAATCTGTTATATCTTAAGTGAACATTTGGGGAACATTTGGAGAAATGCACTTGTTTCTTTCTTAGATTTGTTTATTTTTTGCATCGGTTCTTATTTATAACAACAAAGATAAAATAAAAAATAGCTATATTGTGATTATTAATCTAGTAATGATTATTAAGAAAAGAAGTGGGGGAAAGATGTAATGTAGCTGGGTGATTTTGCTTTGGAAGCTTCAGAAAACTTTAAATCAGTTTTTCTTTAAATTTACTTTGCTGACTCCATCGACTTCAAACAGCTGTAGCTCAGTCATTTTTCGTCCGATTCCAACAAATCATGCATCATTTTAAAGGTCTTTCAATAGAAAATGTAAAAAAAATAATAACTCGTCACATATATTGTTCCTTTAGTTAATTTAGTGTAAAAAACAAAACATGCCTTTAATATTTTTACAGTAGTTTTTTTCTTATTGTTTTTTCAATTATATATTTTGTAACTACTTGGTTGAGTTGTAAAAAAAAATACTACTTGATCAATACAAAGCTAATAATTAAATAAAAATGAAAAAAATTTATTGGTCTTTGTTTCACCATATAATGGAAGCTAAGCTCAGGCCAGTGTCCTCAAATTGACTCTGTTGACTTGTGCACTGTTGTGTGTCTGAGAAAACACCTGCACTTGAGTGTGATTTAGTGTTCTAGACACAGTGAACCACAGTCTCCTACACACAGACACCCAGATGGGGACAGATGAGGGTGCGCTAATGGGCCCGTCTCCTTCCACTTCCTCTATGGCCTTCTTTCTCTTTTTCCCTCCACTATCACTCACATCTACTTCTCCTTGTCCTCCACCATTACTAAATAGTGTCAATGAATCTTTCGTTACTTAGTCTATGCCCACTCGACTAAGTCTGAAGTCGTCGGGCGTAGAAGAGTTATCGCCCAATCAACTCCCAGCTTCCCCTCCGCACGGGCACCAATCAGACGTTCCTGCCTGTAATCACAGGATTTAATCTCGCCCTCGCTGAAGTGTAACAGGCTTTTTCACAGTGTAAGCAGTGTTGAGGGTTGAGGTGACGTAGAGGGTTATATCACTAATGTACCCATCGAAGCCGCTCTCCTCCTGGGCCAAGGGTTTACGAGCTCCTCATTTCGCTCGGCATCATTGTTCTTGGCAATAGTCATTTTAATAGTTGCTATGTTGAAAGTACTGATGAGCTCTTCTGCGTTCGTTCCCTCCATCTGTGTAATTACCACAGAAGGTCATTTGTTGTGTTGCAGCAATAGATGACCAGTCCTTGGAAGTCATTTATTTGTCTTTGAGCTGCAGTGATGTTTCATCAGTATAAACATTATGAGTGTGTGTGTGTATGTTACAGGTCATAGCATAATAACTTTCCTAAAACAAAAAAAAAATTAAGATCTCCATCTGACTATCGAAACCTGTGTTCAGTTCTTTGTAGCCTCAGACCCAACGGTGAAGACAGACAGACTGTGGCATGACAAGTACTCTCTGAGGAAGAGTATGATCCCCGCCTTCATCACCATGGATCAAGCCAGGAAGGTACAGCACTTACATCATAAGAGTACATCATGTACTTTCATTTCAGAGTACATTGCGTATTTTACATTGACTTGAACAGATTTTAGACTTTACATTACATTGACTTAAACAGAGTTTAGTCTTTGACAATCGGAAAGGAGCACAAACCTAATGACTAGGTCACTCAGATTTTAGGTCACTCCATACAACACACTTAACGACTGGCGCGTCACGACTGGACAAATTCTGCCGAACTAAAAAACAAAACAAAAAATAGCTAAAAAAAACCACAGCATCTACCTGCGCTCCCGCCTCACAACACTGCCGACAACACCGGTGCTTTTATTTGAACCCTTTTTTACCTATTGAAACGTTAAGGTTTGTTTTACTTTTCTTAGTTTGTGCTTAATATAACAGAAAACATTAGCTTTCCTGCTATGTTGGTGTTCCTAATAAATGTCACAGCAATGTGTCTTGAATATGTTTTGCATTATGTCCGATGCTTCTCTTTCTTTTTGGAATTATTGCGTGAGTAGACACATTTCATTATGTATTTTCAAATGCCTATAGGTCTATGTTTAATTCCCTTAATTATAACATTTCTAGTGCTATTTTTAAACATTTATTCAAGCAATAATATATAAATGATCTCATGTAGGTCTATGTCTAAAATCAGGGATTAAAAATTAATTGGTAAAAGGGTAGGCTATTTTTTCGTTACATTTCCCAAGTTACCTATTAGAATGAAATAAATCATTAGCCTACTTAATAAATTCATAGCACTGTAACTTCCTCATCCATTTGATACAAAACTATTATATATAGTTTATATATATATATATATATATATATATAGAGAGAGAGAGAGCGATAGAGAATAATTTAATTTAGTTATATTCGTAATTTATGAATTTATTTGTTTTATTTAGTTTTGAAGTAGGCTATAAGGGGAGCGCGGGGCACAAAGTAACACGGGGTTAGTTGTAACACACGTAGTTTAAATATTTCCACACATACTAGCATAACAAAATTTGCAGTATTTACTAGTTACCATATCAACATTATATAGAGAAAAAAGAGTGCACCAAAATTCATCGCTGAACATTTATTTTACCATAGTAAAGTCGTAAGTAAATTTTTCATTTCAATTTTTATTATTCATTTAAAATTAGGCAAATCTGCTATTATTTTAATCTCCAATCTGTTATTTATTGGTTTAGATTTAGATTCGATTACTAGCGGAAGACACTAACCGGGTTTAAATTCCAGTTGCGCAGATGGGGTACGTTGTAACACTGCGTTACAATGTGCACCGCTATTATTAATCTATGCTATTCTATGACATTAGCAATATAATTTACACTATTTACTTTAATGAATTTTAATGAGAAACGACAAGAAACAGGAGAATAAAGACTGACAGTCAATATTTAATGTTCAGAAAATTATTATTTCAAGACATGTAAAGCATTTTGGCTCATTTATGTGGGCTGTCCCAAGCCTGGTTGAAATGTGTTCATTGTCAAACTCCAAAATCAGATTATTTTTAATTCTTATTTGAAAAAAAATATATATTTTATTTTATTGGCAAAATATTTTAGTTTGTCTTGTATATTTTTTTCATGAGATCAGATAACATTTTAAGCTGTCATATGGTAATGTTACAATGTACCCCACCTACGGGGCATGTTGTCACATTTCACTTCCATTTTTTGAGGGTAAATGAAGAAAAACGTATACACTAATTATGAAACAAAGTGACATATTTGTACTAGACAAGTGTGAAATTACTGTGGATAAAAAAAAAATATATTCTGAACCCCATGTGGATTTACACAAACTGAGAAAGTCAAAAAGTGTTATGTTGTGCCCTGCTCTCCCCTATTCGTTATAGGGTTGGGAATCACCAGAGGCCCCACGATACGATATTATCACGATGCTTGTGTCACGATACAAAATTATTGCGATTTTAAATATATTGCAATTTATTACCTTTTTCCAACTTCAAATTATGTCCCCAAATGAAAACTTTGGCAACATCTGTTTTAACTAAAAAGAAACATTTCTCAGTTTGTTTATCTCACTTCAATTTTATTGATGCAGTGCAAAATGGGATTGTCAAGCAGAAAAACTGACCAATACTTTCATGAAAACCTTTCATGTCATTAATGTTGTATGCACCTGGCAAACTCAACTATTTGTATTAGTCTAGTCTAGTCAAACTTAATTAAATGTAAACAGGTATGCACTGCTGTGCTGCTACAGGTATTTTGAACAATGCCAATGTTCAAAAACTTGAACAAAAAAAGTTGTGCAGACCCTTCAGCAATTGGGGCATTTGAAAGTAGATTACTGTTAAATTTAAAATAAATAAAACATAGTCTTACATTAAAACAAATATGTTACATTTAAATTAAACATACTCTTAAAGTAAACAATGTGCTACAACAGGTATACTATGCACTGCTGTGCTCTTAGAGTATTTTACTTTCATTTATTCCATGGTCTGTTGGAATTCTTGATTCTGATTGGCTGGGAGGTATGCATTAAAACTGTTTAATGCACAGGTAGTTCCAAGTCAGTTTAATCACCGTTCTATATTAATGCGCCACTGCTTTAATTGACACACACAAACTCACACACACACACAGAGATCGGAGATCCCGCTGCGCACACAGAAACATTCAGGAGTAGGCCAACATAAACTTGTTGTCAACGCTGCCCAGCGACTTTTATTAATAAAACCGCTTAGATACTGGATCACTTTATTATAATCTTCAGCAATGAGGAGGTAAAATCTCTGTTTAAGTAACTAAACTCACAACTTCATTGTTTGTAAAGAGATGCACAGACGCAGGTAATTCACACACACAACTGTCATCTTTCTCTCTCTCGAACAAACGATCGATAATTAATTCAAATGTTATAATTCTGTAATTCTATAATTACGTAACTGACGAAAATAACCATAATTTTTACCCATTCAGTAAAATATTGCGCTGCAAAGAGCAATACTAGTTTTAACTTGTCTATAACTTGGCAAATGGACATGGAATAAGCGGGATAATCAACGGCTTGCCATGCATTAAAGGATTTTAGAAAAAAAAACTCACCACCACCATCTAGTGGACTGTAAAGAAATTGATTTTATTACTCTACCAAATGGTATTAAAAAATAATGGTATAAAAGATCGATACTTCGCATCCGTGTATCGATACAGTATTGCCACAGAAAATATTGCGATGCTATGCTGTATCGATTTTTTCCCCCCACCCCTAATTCGTTATGTTCGTATATTCGTTTTGAAGAAAATTCGTTAGCCTAGCCCAGGGGTAGGCAAGTTCGGTCCTAGAGAGCTGCAGTCCTGCAGAGTTTAGCTCCAACCCCAATCAAACACACCTGAACAAGCTAATCAATGTCTTCAGGATTACTAAGGC